CAAGTTGCCCAGGCAGATCTTGAACCCGCGGGCTCAGGCAATCCACTCACCTCAGCCTCCCAAAGGCGTGGATTACAGGCTGAGCCACCGAACCCGGCTAATTTTTTTTTTAAATTGAGTTAGAGTCTCACTCTATAGCCCAGGCTGGAGTGCAATGGCATGCTCATGGCCCCCGCAGCCTCAACATGCTGGACTCAGGCGATCCTTCTGCCTCAGTCTTCCAAGTAACTGGAACTACAGGCACACACCATGCCTGGCTAATTTTTTGATTTATTATAGAGATGAAGTCTTGCTAAATTGCCCAGGCTGGTCTCAAACCCGTGGGCTCAGGCAATCCTCTCACCTCGGCCTCCCCAAGTGCTGGGATTATAGGCTTGAGTCACTGCACCCGATCTTTTTTCTGTATTGTAGAGTTGAGGTCTCACCAAGTTTCCCAGGCTGGTCTCAGACCCCTGAGCTCAGGCAATTCTCTCGCCTCCACCTTCCAAAGTGCTGGGATTACAGGCGCAAGCCACCACGCCCGGCTTAACACATTTAAAAAATAGAATTAGGGTCTTGCTATGTTGCCCAGGCTGCCTTTGAACTCCTGGGCTCAGGCAATCAATCCTTCTGCCTCAGCCTCCTGAGTAGCTGGAACTACGGTGTATGTCACGCCTGGCTTAGGTTCCTTTAGTCATAGAAGGTACCTGCTACACGCAGGCACCGTGGCAGGAGGCTGCTTGCCTGCTTACTGGTAACCAGCTCATCTTCTCTTCTCAAGACTCAGTTCTCACTGGAGAATGACAGGACTGGAGAGAGGCAGCTCTGCCCTGATGAATGAGAATGCTGGTCTTCTCCCAGGGTCCCAGGTCTGGGGCAAACCCAGCCATACTCACAGCCACGAGAGGGCAGGGGACGCCTGGACCCACCTTACACCTCCTTAACCTCAGGAGTTGGAAGGCACCCTGGAATCACTTAGCCCCGGCTGTCAAATTCCATCCACGATCTTTCCTCCACCTCTTCAGCAGTGGAAAGGGCCTGTTTGCCGGCTCTCGCACTAGAAGATGCCTCCAGGAGGAAGCCCTGGGTGCCAAGGAAGAGCAAGGACCCTGCTCCCAGAACAAAGGGAAAACGCGGCTTTTTTCCTGCAGCAGGAGTGGCGAGAAGGGATGGGGTGTTCTGCAGGGGCCTGCTCCATTTTCCAGGGTGAAGGGGAGGCTGAGGGAGGCTGGGCGGGAGGAGGCGGGGCTTCCTGTAAAACTGGGTCAAGATGGCCTCGGATTTGAGCAAGCAGGTCCACAAAGCTCAGAGGCAGCAGCTGTGGGCAAAGCGGAGGGAGGAGAGGCCCTGACGGTGGGCTGGGGGAGGCCTAGAATTGGGCAGGGGAGTGAAGATAGGGCTCCTCCTGGGAAACCAGCAGCCTCGCCCCAGCAGCCTCGCCCCA